TAGAGAGGGGCAGGGGGAAGGTAACACAATTCCAAGATTGAGGAAACAAGCAGTTTAGTACTTTACAGAACACAATTCGTCCCATATACCCACGGATCTAAATTTTGCCATAGTGTAATTCCCTGCACAATTGCTAAATATACCTCATTCATAGGAAACTGCTGGCTGGGGAATTCTGGGAGTTGAAGTCCGCCCATCTGAAAGTACGCTGGCTGGGGAATTCTGGGAGTTGAAATCCACCCATCTTAAAGTTGCCAAAGTTGAGAAACACTGATACAAAGGATTGGGAGGGGGGATTTCTTATGCTATTTCTTTAAAAAAATTGCAGCTCTCCAAATCATTCATTCTGCCAATAAACTGGAGTGGCCTGGTCTTGCACCTACAGCCATGATTACTCACCCCTGGGACCCTTTTCTGGCACTGCCCAGATGTGTTACTGTCTGTTCTACTTTCTGATAATACCCAAATCTGGCAGGACAACATTAGGCTTCTCCAGTGATCTTTTGGTTCTGCCCTTCCTTCTTGAAGTAGACATTTCTATTACTGGGGTCTCTGAATCTTTCCAACCAGTGGGCACATCTGGGACTCTCAGGAGGTTTAGGGGTGTGAGCAGAAAATGGCTGCCCCAAGGTTGGTGCTCCTTCGAAAAAGTTAGCCTGTCCTTTTTCAACCAGGGTCTCCCCAAACTAAGTGGGAGCCAAAGCTGAACCCCACAGTGCAAAAGCGGTGCTTTGAACCCGCCGCGCTGCTATTTTCTTTCTCCTCTGACTTCCTCCAGACGAATACGTTGCCAATATTGAAAATTATATCTACTTTTTTTTATTTATTTGTCATCTTTATATAGTCGCCCATCTCACACAAAGTGACGCTGGGCGGCGTACAACAATTAATACATGCCGTGTTTTCATGTATGTACATATTTATATATGCTGGATTTGTTTAAAGCGTACATAAATGCTTTAAATGAAAATAAATACATTTGAAAGCCTCCTTCCCATCTCGTTCACTTGCCAAGGCGAGGAGATAAGGACTCTTCTTTCCTGCGAACATCATATTCTCTTTTTAGTAGGGATGAGCCAGGGAACGGGCAGGGGGACGGAGGGCAAAACCATACCTTGATTTGTTTCCCTACGTTTAGATCCCATCCATTCTGAAACCACTCGAGGCAGCTTCCCTATATGAACACCTTATGCAGTAATAAGATAGGGTAATTAAAATAAGATATTTAAGCAGAGGGAGTTAAAAGAATTGATCCCGTGCCAGGGGTTGTTCAGCCACTAATGCTTGTTGAAAAAGCCAGGCTTTTGCAGCTTGGCTAAACTTTTAACAGCATTGAGTGTGTCCAGATCTCGGGGGTGAATGCTGGTCGGGGGGTTCCCATTCCCCCTGCCTTGTTTAAGCAAGTGGGCCCCTAGTATTCTCTTCCAAACGGGACGATTCTCTTTAAGCAGCTTCCATTCTTTAAATATCCTCTCTGTTTGCCAGAGGAATACCTCCGTTTTCTCCGCCTTTTTGCAGGAAAACTGACTGTCTGCAAGCCGTTCCGCCTTCATTCCAGTAGCTCTCAGCCTCTTTCAGAAGACGAGGTAAAGAAAGACCAGGAAGATTTGTTTCAGGACTTCCGGCGGCTTTGGGGCATAGACTGGAGGGCCCAGTCTTGTCCAGATTTTGAACCGTCGATGGTTCCTCAAGTGATGACCACCAAAACGTCTGATAAAAGACAGGAAGCTAACAGGTATGCGTGTGGGTTGAGTTCAGTGCTCCCCCTCAAAAAAAAAAAAACATAAAGATCACCCAGGTATCGTCTGGGTACCAGACGAATAAAAATACTGTAGTAACATAAGGAGAAAACTACAAACTTGCCAACTGGTCAGCTGAAGAACTTGGATAGAAATCTACTTGGAGCTGATAACTAAAATAAGAATGTCTCCTTTGTAGTTCAAGTTATCAGACAAACCCAAGCTGGGGCAGTTGGGTTAACCCAATAACTCTAGTTTAGTTAATCATGAGTTGGCCTGTTGGCACACTCAGACACTTGTCTGGGTTGTAGTTAGCCATTATAGCCATAAATGTCATGGCTGTATGTACCTGATGAGTCCCAATAAGGATGAAACCTGTTTTATGCTCCTTCCTGGTGCTGAGATAATGTGTAAAATCACAGGAATATATAGATAGTCCTCGACTTATGACCACCTTTGGGACTGGAACTTCCATTGCTAAGCAATGCAGTCGTTAAGTGAGTCACACCTGATTTTACAACTTTTTTGCCACAGTTGTTAAGCGAATCTGGCTTCCCCCATTGACTTTGCTTGTTAGAAGCCCCCTGGCAAGGTTGTAAATGGCAATCACATGACCCTGGGACACTGCAACCGTCATAAATATATGCTGGTTGCCAAGTGCTTGAATTTTGATCACGTGACGCAGTGGTTGTAAGTGCGAGGATTGGTCATAAGTTACTTTTTTCAGTGTGGTCGTAACTTTTAATGTCATTAATCGATTGGTCGTAAGTCGAGGACTACCTGTATACTGAAATTGTCCCTTACTCCCCTGGGAGGGTGGGGTCACAAAACTTCCAGGATGAAAGCATGACATAATAACAGCTCTGTTTCTCTTGTCTGGATTAGAGGAAATCCGGTTCCTTTCTCTATGTACCTGTCACCTTATCAGAATTGGAGAAGACTGATCTTGGGGAAGGCCTGTCGTTTTCATTCATCCCCCGTTTCCTCTTCCCTGGTCCTTCAAATGACTCTGGTTGCAAAGCAGCTTGGGACTCCTTTGCCCTAAAGTGGGGCTGGGCAATGGCGTCTCTTCAATCATTCCACAGTTTCTAACTCTTCTGCCTCTTCCCTACCCGTTGAGATAGGTCCTACAGCTTAGCCACCGCTCAGATTTGGCTCGGAAGAGGCTGTCAGCTTGGTGATGCTGTGAGCTTTTCACCCACTGCATGTTGCCTGGGTTTGCCTGTTTTTACGGACCCCGTGCAATCTTTTCTCCCTCCTAAGGGGCTTTTCCGGGAGAACTCTGGCCAGCCCCCTCCTATAGCGCCATCTTCTCTCGCAGCTCCATTCTTGGAGCATTTCCCCCAGGGCTTCAACTCCACTCTCTTTGGCCAGGTTGCTTTTGCAGGAATGGGAACGGCGGGAACAGCAGGAGAAACGGCGGGCTGAGCTGCGCAGACTGAAGGCGCAGCACGTGCAGAGGGAAGTAGCTAAGTGCCTGGCTACTTACCAGCCTCCGGGATGCTCCGCTGGGTCGGTCCAGAGAAGGCGGGAAGAGCTCAGGTGAGGTAGCGTGACCCCCTCCCCAAGGCATCTTTCTGAGTTTAACCAGCAACTGGATCAAGATACTTATTCTGGTACTTGGATGGGAGACCACCAGGAAGTCCCGGGGATGGAGGCTAGGGTAGCTCAGTCCCAGAAGAATGCCACGGCAAACTGTTTCCAATCTGTTGCCAAAAACCTGCATGAATATGCCCATGAAGTTAAACAAACAAACAAACTGAACGCGCAGTCGCTAGGTGTTACAAAGCCCATGTGTCATGGGATGCCTGATGCAGCCCCAAGAGATTTGGAACGTGGGTTCTGGATGAAAGAAATGGCAGCTGGGGTCTCGGCTCTAGCTGACACTTGTGGCAGCCTCCGAAAACACAACAGGAAACTGATCTGCAAGGAATCCATTTCCAGAAGCGACCTTGATTCGAGGCATGGGCTGAAGCGAACCTTTCAGACGTGTGGGTGGTAGGAAAACGTCTTTGCCAAATCCAGTTGGGTGCTGGGAAAAATAATGCATGGATTTGCACAGTGAGTTTGCCCATTCCTCGTGCCTGTTTCTGTGTTTCGTGTTCTGCTTCTGGTTTCATGCAGTGTGCAAAATGCAGCCCGTGAGGTTTGTAAACTGTTAACCATGACTTATGGCAGTGTGTATTGTCTGAACCATAGACATCCAGCAGAAGGCATAATGTTACCTTACACACCATGATGTCTTTGTGCAAATGACCCTAGCTGTGTCATTTCGATCGGCTACATCCAGATCCCGCTGACATGCAGTATGTCATTCGTGTTGTTCGCGTGACGTGAAGTCATGATTTCTGCTGTTTGTGTGAGGTCGCCACCAAGTCCTGACTCACATCGTTTAAGGGACGTGCGATGAGGATATTAATGCTCTTCCTCCCCTTCCAAATTCTGCCAATTTTTTTTTTATTTTTTAAAATTATCCTTACAAATTTATTTATTTATTTGATTTGTATAGCCACCCATCTCACATAGGTGACTCTGGGCGGTTTACAATAAAGTTTGTAAGTCAACATTTGCAAGGTTTGTTTAGTAAGCCATGATTTAGCGGCCCTTTGTGCCCTTCCATACTTACTAAGTACTCCACGTTCAAGCGTTCAAACCCCAGTGAATTGATTAAGTTGCCCCTGGATGTTTCATAGTGTGTAGTTGGATCCAGATTTCTGTGGCTGGGGACGGACTTCTCCCTGCTCCTAGCCCGATGCTGTACGCAGAACGTCTGTTCTCAAAATGGAGAGGGATGTCCACCTGGCCCACCGCCTTCCTTCCGTGTCCCGCGTAGGAGGCAAGAGAAACAGCGCATGGAGGAATACATGATCCAGCTGCAGGAGATACAAGACCGCGTAGAGAGCCGCCCGTACCTCTTTGAAAGAGTCATGCAGGTGTGTGGTGCAGGAGCAGACCTCGTGGTTGTGGAGACCTGGATCCAAGCCCAGCTGTGAAGTTTGTTTGTTTGTTTATTTATTTATTTATTTATTTATTTATTTATTGTCAAACTTGTATGCCGCCCATCTCCC